GAAGAAGAAGAAGAAGAAGAAGAAGAAGAAGAAGAAGAAGAAGAAGATAAAGATGGCTCAGCAGGTAAAGGAGTTCATCACCAAGCCTGAGGACCTGAGTTCGATCCCTGGGACTCACATGATGTATAGAGAGAACTGGTTTGCACAAGTTGTCTTCTGACTGACTGCCATACGAATGTGATAGTGTGTATTTTCAAAAAATAAGAAAGCTGGGAGTGGTAATGCACGCCTTTGATCCCAGCACTCAGGAGGCAGAAGCAGGTGGATCTTTGAGTTCAAGTTTACCTTGGTCTACATATCGAGTTCCAGGACAGCTAGGGCTGCACTGAGAAATGGTGTCTTGAGGGGGTGGGGGTGGGGTGTGGGGTGGGGAGGGAGCTAATGAATGAAAAGAAATATAGAAACACACAGAAGATCCTATGAACACAGAGGTGGGGTCACAGTCACACACTGACAAAGCCAGCAGACTCTAAAGGTGACCAGCAAGCTCTGCTATCTATGTGCTGTTTGGGAGTGAAGTGGCTCTTGCCCTGGAGCCTGCAAAATGGAACCAACTTGCCAATCCAGATGTCATAAGCCTGAGATCCCAGCACGTGGAAGGCAGAAGCAGGAGGAGGTTTAGGGAGAGGGGGAGGGGAGGAGTCAGGTACAAAGAGAGAGTTCCTGGGAGCTGGGGTGACTATAAAGGATGATTTCCACCATCATCTTGGCATGTAACCTGGTTTCCTGAGAGAGTGCGTCAGATCTCGGGGCTGTCCAGCCAGATGACAAGCTTTTGTTCTCCTTGGTGACCTTTGAGGGTGATCAGGCTGTTCCATGAATTCATCTGAATAGCAGTGCCTGACCCTGGCTGAGCAGGGACATGGTGGCAGTAACAGCATGAACGCATGGACCTTATAACAACTTCAAGAACGAATATGTCACCTTTCACTTCCAACCATTTTAATAGAACCACCATGGTTCCCTACTTACAAGACTTAGCTCTCTCTGTTTCCACCCTTGGGGGCTCATTTTCCCTCAAAGTGTGTTTTTCCCCCCCTTATTTTAGGGTTTTTGTTTGTTCATTTGTTTGTTTGAGATACATAGCTCATGTTGGTCTTGAACCTAAGGGTATTCTCCTGTCTCCAACTTCTCAAGTGCTGGGATTACAGGTATGTCCCCCATCAGGTTTAGGAGTCTTAAAGGATCAAATTCTGGACTTTGTGCTTATGAAGAAAAATGGTTGGTGTTTTTGTTTTTTGTTTTATTTTGTTTTGGCTTGGTTTTAGTCTGGGCTTTTGGTTTCCTGAGACAGGGTAATCCTGCTGTCTTAGAACTCACCCTCTCAACCAGGCTGGTCTCAAACTCACAGAGATCCTTTTCCTCTGCCTCTGCCTCTGCCTCTGCCTCTGCTGAGATTAAAGGCCTGTGCCACCACCATCCTGCAGATGGTTGGTTTTAAGATAGAGTCTGTGCCTTGCTGTGGAGGTACAAGGGACCACAGATATAGGCTATTCACAGAAGTTTCTGAATGCAGTCATCAGAAGAGAAATGACCCAATTAAACCAGGCAGAAGATTTCTTCAACGGACAGAAGAACACACAGCAGCAAGTGCTCAGTTTCAGTAGCCATTAGAACAATAAAACCACACAGTTCATCCCAGCAGTGAGGAGGCACAGTCGGGAACATCTCCAGGCTAGCCATGGCTTTATCATACATAGAGGGACTCTGTCTCAAAGAAGGCAGAGAAAGGGGAAGGAGGAGGGGGAGGGTGAAGGAGAGAAACTACAATGAGAATGTGCATCTGTCACCCAAGCACTTAAGAATTAGAAACAGGAAGATGGACCTTTCAAGACCAGCCTGGCCTACAGAGCTGGTCTCAGAAAACAATGGACAAAGGTCCACATCCAGTGCAGTAGCTA